GGATCAGATTCTCTTTCTCTTCTATTAGTTATTGGTGGTGCAAAAATCCTGCATTAACCCTGCAACAGTGTGAGCAAGATGTGGGTAATTTCACATGTCCAGTGAATGGTAAAGAGAGTCTGTTACAATTTTTTCCCCAGTTCTGAGGTACAAAAGCACAGCTTCCAGCTTGTTGAACTATAAATTAGATTTTTGGTCTACAGTTACCTGTAGGGAAAGCTGAATTACTGTGTCAGCAAACAGCCTATTGATCTGGAATCTCCTACCTCTCAATTTCCAGTCACTACCTGTGGGAAACTGACTTCTAGTCAGAAAGTGAAGGACTGGCCTGGGTTCCACTGTGTGCAGCTTCTGGAGCACCAAGCTAGTGGAACAAGATCTGAGACACAGACCTGTATAAAGAAACAGACTATTGTGGAGGACTGTAAATATTAGTGAGTGAAATCCTCATACTGTATAAATTTGTGATATGCATTTAGTCTCAACAAAAATGAAACATTAAGGGCCTCCCTGATGGTGCAAAAGGTTAGGCCCTAAAGCTAGTGCAGCTGCTTCAGTGCAACTTCGATCCCTGTTCCAGAGCTGAACTACATGGTGCAGCAGACTTCTCCTGACTCACCTGCTGCTCCCCTCAGCAGTGTACTTGGTCTATCTGCTTGTTATGCTCTCCACTGTGTCTCTGGTGAATTCTCTCACCGCCCCCTACCACTGGCCTGTACTTCAGTTTTTTATTGCATAAATAAAATTTAAAAAATTTAAAAAATGAAACATTGAGTATAATGTACATTTAGAAACACTTGAATATGAATTTACATTTAGAAACATTTGTGAATAAGTGGGAAGAAATGATTTGGAATGGACTAGCAATATCACATTTATATTTTAGGAGATTAACTCATATGATATTGTTCATTGAGTATGTTTGAAATAGGATCAAGTTATGAAGACACTTAAGAAGGAATGAAAAGAAATCATGGAACATTACAGGGAACTTGAAGGTGGGTAATGAAAGGACTTTGGTGGAGAAATTGACTCTTTGGACAGTCCTTGCCTTTTTTTTTTTAAGATTTATTTATTTATGCATATAAGGACTGGGGTACAGGCCAGATGTGTAGGGGGATGAGAGGCTTCACCAGACACAGAGTGGGGAGCAGAATAGTCAGATGTATTGAAATATACTGCTGAGGAGAGCAGCAAGTGAGACTGGGGGTTCTGCCATGCCATGTGGGCACTTCCGTGGCCAGGGATGGAAATTGTGCTGTAGTGGCATGGACAGCTTTGTGTTGCCATGTTTTAACACTTTGTTCCACCTAGTCCTTTGCTTTTTAACAATAATTAGGACTCCTATATAGCTCCATTCATAGATAAGCTTGAAATAAATGTTAGTCAAATAATTAAACATTTGTTGAATAAAACATTTTACATTAGCATAGAATTTCAACTTATGCAAGGTGATATTGTATACTTATTGCAGTTAAAACCTCATGCCTCAGTTTTCATTTTATGTATCAGCAGCTATTCAGTAATTTGGAAACTTGCCACTAAGTAACCAACAGACTACAATTTGAATATATATATTTTTCCAATTTAAATACATAACAAATTCTTTATTATTTTTATATCACATTTCAGGTCACTTAACCTCATTATTTTTAGTGAAATCAGAAAAGTCCTAAGTTATTTAGGATCTCTCAAATATTTAAATAAAAATTACATTAGTACAGAATAGGCAATAAATGTATAAAACTAAATAAGAATCATAAGATGAAACTGAAATAAACCTCTGAAATTTGACTACAGAAATGGGCTATTATTCAGGAGGTTTTGGGGTGGGGAAAAGCAGGAGAAATGAGTTTAAACATTAGGGCAGATAATTATTTATTTCAAGCTTATCTATAATAATTATGATATTTTTTTGTGGTGGGTGTGGTGTTGTAACCTATAACTATATAGGTGTGGGCTTATAGATAATATTGAAAATCTGTGTTACCTCAACAGATAATATAATGCTAAATAGATACAGGGATGAACCTAAGAAACATATATAAATGTTGATTTTGTAAAAATGCACATGTCAAATTATTTAACATCATAAAATAGTATCATTTCAATAATTTTAAAATGATAACTCATAAGGCCATTAGCATGCTTGTTTTGATTGATATTATGTTTCCCATCCATATAATATATAACATAAAAATTTGCATATCATATAATGAATAAGGTATAACTTTTGTGTGTTTGTGTATATATATGTACAAAAATGATAACTATATTTAACATTGTTTATTAGATGTTCTAATGTGCTGCTGTTCAACCTAGCAACCACCTGACAATTAGGCACTTGAAATATAATTTTACTAAAAGTTGTAAATTCTCTAAGTATAAGATGCAAACAAGGCTTTAAACATCTATACTGAAAACACAGTTAAGAGATTGCATTCACTTTTCAGATTGATTCCATATTTTAGTGAGAATGTCAATTTATATCAATTTAATTGCAATATTAATATATGTACAAATACATGAAAACTAGCCTATTTCATATAACGTGTAATACTTTGGCATTTATATTATGTTGTTTTTTATTGATTACATGATGTAGAATAATTCAATTCTTTAATTTGGATAATATAAAAGTTAAATTACATATATGACTTACAATGAGTTACTATCAAACAGTGGAGCTCAAGGATATTATAGTCAATATGGAAAAGGAAATGGGGATGAGTGAGAGCAGCCATGATCATTCCTTCTTGGAGGAGAGTATTGGAAACACTCTTGTCATGGCTCCCAGGACTTCCTTATTTCTCAAGCTGTAGATGATGGGATTGAGCATGGGGGTCAGAATGGTGTAGAAAACTGCAAGATTCTTATCTTCTTGTGGGGTGCGGAAAGTCCTGGGCCTGAGATAAGTATAGACAAATGGTGCATAGTAGAATGTCACCACAGTTAAATGTGTGGAACAGGTGGTGAAGGCCTTCTTTCTTCCCTCTTTGGAGCGCATATGGTAGACAGCATAAAGCACCCGGCCATAGGAAACTGTGATTCCAAGAAAAGGAACAAGGAGAAAGAGACTTGTGCTAACAAAAACCATGTACTCATAGACCCAGGTATCCATGCAAGCCAGAGTAACCATGGCTGGGATATCACAGAAGAAGTGATCAATGGCCCTGGATCTGCAGTAAGAAATATTGAGGGCATAGGCTGTGTGTGCTACAGAGTCAATGGCACCTAAGATCCAAGATCCTATGATCATCTTCACACACATCCTTTTACTCATGCGGATGGGGTAATGCAAGGGGTGGCAGATGGCCACATATCGGTCATAGGCCATAGAAGCCAGGAGTAACCCTTCAGATCCTGCAATGGTCACGAAGAAGAAGCTCTGAACCCCACATCCCAGGTAGGATATGCCCTTCTGACCAGAGAAGAAATTGAACACCATTTTGGGGACAGTGGTGGAGATGTAGATCAGGTCCATGAGGGAGAGCTGGCTGAGGAGAATGTACATTGGAGTGTGGAGTCGGGAATCCATGCGGATGACGTGAATCATGGTGGAGTTGCCCATGGAGGCGAGAAGGAATATAAAGATGATAAGGAGTAAGAGAAGCAAGCCAGTTTGATTTGGGGGAAATAGCCCCAACAAAATGAAATCATTGGAAGTGTGATTCCATGTCTCCATAGAAACTTACTGCTGATTATATTTCCTTGAAAGAAAAATAAAAACAACCACAGAGACTAAATATCAAATGAAACAAAGCAGTTGCATAAAAAGGATCTCTGACTATCTTTATGTTAGTAAAGAATGAGTTGCTTTTCCTTTAATATGACGGTGCATCCTTCCATTAGCTACTTGAGTGCTGTTCTTTCAAGTTTTCTCTGGTGGCAGCTGAGCAAGTTACTTTTAAGTCGAAGACCATGTATCATAGCTAGTACAGATTACAAGGTCACTAAAGCTTATTCTCTAGATAACTCATGCCCAGGAACACAGTCTTGATTTATCAAGTTAGAGAAATGGTTGCTTGAGGAAGGACATGGATTTAACTCAGAATATTGAAAGAATAATTGTCACATTTAACTTCAAAGTTTTCTTTCTACATTTTAAGTTCTGTGTTATTCCTTTCTTCCCTGTCTTTAAAGACCTTATTTCAGTCCTCTGGTCTCCTCAACTGTCCTCACTTCAGATAAATAAATTTAATTCCATTCCTGTCATAGATTTCACTTCTTTGCCTTTCTAAAATTGTTTTATCACCTCAAATCATTGTCTTGAATTGCAAACTCATCACATGATCTTTAAGTTATGCTTAATTATAGAATATAATGCAAATATTTTCTCTTTGATTCTGATGATTCAATTTATTTATGACCTACAGAGCACAGAATCAAATACACTAATGGTCAGGGGCATCTTTTTCTCTTCATATAGGTACATTGCACATGACAAATGTCACAGATTACAGATTCTGGCACATTTGATATTGATGCTTCTTGTAAATTAAGCTTAATAAGAGCCCATGTCTTGAAATAATTCTGGCTGTGATGGCAGGTGTCTAAAAATCACTATTCTGACCTGTCATGATTTTTACTATGGCTCTGACACACAACTGTACAATGACTGCATATATTATATTTGTTCAGTCTCTTAAATCTCTCTTTGAATTTTTTTCTTTTTATGTTTGCCATTTTTCTTGGTTTAAACAGAAAGATTTAAGAGGAAGACAACAGAATATTTTGTCACCCATTCAGTAAATGGTGAAATGCTAACCCATGTCTGTATCACAGAAGCATTGCAGAAAAGTTGCTAACACATTTAACTGTTTGGTGAAATGACAAACATTATCAATTTTCAATATTTTAATATGATGATTTAGTTCATAAAAAATGAAAAGTTCAGTTCAATATTCAGTCCTTAGTATTTTTTGTGGTACTTAGTGACCCCAATAATTTTTTTGGTGTAATGAAATAAGCAAAATTTTACTTTACAGGTAAACAGGAATTGTTTATTCTCTTAAAAATGACCAGTTTGGTTTAAAAATTTATGTTTAGGATATAGCACGTGTAACTTTTAGACAAAAACATGTGTGGTGTCATTTTGATTTCTTTCATCTGAATCAAAATAAGTTAAGTCCAAGAAAGATACCAACAAGTTGCCCAGAAAGTGATATTCCAAAAGCAGGAACTGAACAACAAAACTGACTCTGAGTTTGTGTATTCCATGTTTAGGAGACAGATGTGTTTGTACATGATTATTTCCACAGACTGAAGCTCAAAGTATCATAAAGATAAAGATAATTACAACAAGGATTTTGTTTTCTGAAAGGAATAAGGACATGCTGCTAGGTGGTAAAAGAACTTTGAAGGGACTCAGGCTCCAAGTAAATCTGGGATGTGACATTTATGACACTAGACCTAGGAGCTAGAACTCAGAGTTTCTTTATATTAAAATCAAATACATTTGTTAATTATGAGACCTTATTTAATGCACCGGAATTGCATGAAACACCATTGTTTGGTTAAACAGTGAATTGAGAATATTGGCTTCAATTTGCATCAATGTAGATCTTGATCACATTAAGTATATTTCTGATAATTAGAGATAAAAGACCACCTAAATTTATATATTCTTCTGCACATAAATTTAACAATTACATAGTCCTAATTTTATTTTGCAAAAGTAACAGGTCAGATACATTTTAATCTTTCTTATAGATAAGCAGTCCAAAACCAGTAAGCAAATTCTGTCTAAGCCCCAAATCTTATGGGACATCTATATAAATAATAAGTGTCAATGTGTCCAGCACATGGTTGATTCTTTGTAGATATTGTGAATTGATCTCCATTCTCTATTTCATATATGTAATTGCTGGCAGAATTCAAGTGAAGAAAAATCAAATGTCTGCTGTGGTATAGCACACTATTCTAACAGATTCTCATTGCCTCTTTTCAAAGTTTAAGTTCACTCTTGGCTGGTCCTATTTGAGATAGAGAAACCTATTCTCTGTGATACAAAAAATGTTTCCTCCAAACATAATAATTATTTCCAAAATATCTATATGTATTAAGGTTAGAACAAATCAATTGAATTAAACATATTAACAATGACTCACCTTGTTCAAAATTCCTCAGCTTGTATTTTGGGAAAGGATGTTGATTTATAATGACATCATTTCTTGATGACAGTCCATTGAACCATTTGAAAGCTTTAGATTAAAGTTCACTGACATGACTCTCAGTCTATGCTACAAGATCTTTTTACTGATAAATCAATTCTTTTAAAACAGAACTGTCCTTCACATGAAGAACTTTTCATTATCTGATGTATTCATGAGAAAGAAATTCCTAAGTATGTTTTGTAAAGTTGTTTCCTCATTACCTTTTTAGCTCATATAACATAAAGCTTAAGCTACACTTACAATCTGGTTGTCAAGATTTGTTGGAATATCTAATGAAACTATTTCTCTTTTACATATATATTTGTTTGTTAAAACAGCTTCCTATCTTATTAAGTTGTCCCAGCTTAAATCACTTAACATCTAACGCTCTCAATTTTTACTGTGGGAAGTTAGAAAGATGAGTTACTTCATTTTATTTATGTAAATTTAAGCTATCAAGACTTAGAATGTCCTCTTTGCCTTATAATTGATCCCTGATGTCCAAGCCCATGGGGGCTGAGCTTTGGTCATTACACTTGACTCTGTTTATTTGGTGATCACTTACTTCTGCATTTAGTTATAAGAAATCAATCAAACTAATCAATGCTATTGGTTTTTGCTGAAGTCCAAGGGAGTTAGAGCACAGTGGAATGTACTAGAACACTGTAAAGAAAGTCAGTTAATGTTGTTCGATATCTCATTTAATAAGTTTGAAAGCTAAGATGCTGGAACTACTACTAGATCTTAGCTACATAATAGAACACTTAGTATCAGTGCAATTTTCTGAATATTGTAAACTATTATGAAGGAAATTATTGGTGATCATGAGCAAATTTTGTTATATCAATACAGTTCCTTCTATTTGTAGAGGTCTATTACAATGGAGCTATGAAAATATTCATCTACTCATCTGTTATAATGAAGTGTCAGTTTGTCTTTTAGCATATGACAATGAAGCTAAATTGTGCACTCAAAGGAAGTGTCTAGCTACTAGACACATACATTTGACTTGGAGTGTAGAAAAGCTATGTAAGATTATAGGTTGCTTCAAGTCTAAAGAAAGTTCAAAGTATTTAGTGAGGGTGATATAATACATTTGTTTGTTTTATGCCTGCCAAAGAAGAAGAGATCAAAGAATTAAGACTGCTATTTATACCTAGATTTGAACTAGGAGAAATACATTTAAAGAGACTCTGGATTTTACTTTTCTTTAAAATTATATCATTTTCATACAAATATAAAGTGTTTAAATAAATAGAAAGAATATTTAAATAAATAAAAATGTTTAAATCCCTTAAATATGAATTAAGTTTGTATTCAATTTCTATCAATTTCTAACATACACACACGCATATGTGTATATATATATATATTTATAATTATTAGAACACATAAAAAGATACATTATTTATATTACTTAAAATTTGGGTTATGACACATTATCACATAGATATATGCTGAGTTTTAGCTCTTAATCCTGTACTGATTACATCTTCCTTTCTATGGTGTGGCCTTTTCTTGCATTTACCTAGTAAAACTCCTGCCCAATTAAAACCACACTTAGGTGTGTCAAACCCAAAATATCCATGTGGGGCATTAAAACAGGGTTGTAAAAAACTGAGAACCATGCTCATGAGTTTAAATTCTAATATACGAACAGAGATGTTAGTCAGAACAATCTGTAAAATAGCATTATGACCATGATCTCTACACACTATCTCTAAACAAGGAAACGTCCTCTCCTCCACCAAATTGTGTTGACACCACAATCCTGAGTTTCAGATGGGAAAATAAAATAAACATGTGAAGAAATACAGTCAATAAGATTTTAAGTTCTTCTGAACAGTTCACACTATTCTCCTGTAATATGTAACCATGGACTCTCAAATTTCTGTGAAGGATCATGAAATGACCCTACTATTTCCAAAATCTATCCCTCTAATTCATGTGAGATTCATCACTTTCATGAGTTCTTATTTTCATTTCCCACTTTTCTGGATCATTCATAACATAAAAACTCTTTCTTAATGTGACAATATGATCTTGCTCCTAAAACTGATATAAGATTTAGAGACTCTGACCAGAGATTAAGAATCACTTTCTGTCTCCTGAGATCAAATTTGATAGCTTGTAAAGTAGTTTAGTAGTGTATTATGGATAAGGGGTCTCATAATTGTGGTAAATGAGAGAAAAAGTGTGAAATGAATTGCTTTATAATGGTGCTTTTGTGAGTCTGGAGGTTTAGAATATATTTAGAGAGACTTCACAGTAGATAACAGGTTTAGATTTTCATTTGGTGAAAAGAAAAAACATTCTAAGAATTTATGGAAATATAGTGATGGTTTTGGAAGTCTGAGGGTAAAGATGAAGGACTACATGAATCAGGGTATGGATTAGAATGAGACCATTATTGCGGATCATGGTTAGTCAAGGGATTTGGAAAAGCAATGTTACAATGGGTACTGTTTGAGATAAGTACGGTTTGTGACATATTTATCCATGTCCTTTAGAGTCTACCTCAAGATAGCAT